CTTGTTTTGTTTTAGAAATAGATAGATAATGAAGAATCGTTATACTGATATATCTACATTTTTCTACTAGTATATTTTACATTAAGAATAACAATTGAACACGAATTAGTCTAATGGAAGTCAAATTATTACAATCTCGGTCAAAAATAGTGTAATCGAACTCGAATTAGTCCAATAGAAGTCAAATTAGTACAATTGATGTTAATTATAGTAAAATCAAACTCAAATTAGTCCAATCGAACTCGAATTAGTCCAATTGAAGTCAAAGTAGTACAATTGAAGTCAAATTGGTACATTCTCGGTCAATTATAGTGTAATCGAACTCGAATTAGTCCAAGATTGTACTAATTTGATTTCCATTGGACTAATTCGAGTTCGATTACACTATAATTGACCGACAATGTACCAATTTGACTTCAATTGTACTAATTTGACTTCAATTGGACTAATTCGAGTTCGATTACACTATAATTAACCGAGATTGTACTATTTAGACTTCAATTGGACTGATTCGAATTCGAGTACACTGCAATTGACCGAGAATGTACTAATTGGACCTCAATTAGAGTACTAATTGTACTAATTGAAAATTAAAAGTATCATGTTAAATCTTTTTAGATTCTTTATTTTACATGAAAATTGGCTAAAATTATACCGACAATGAGCTTAATACATTTATAATGTGTACCAATAACGATTGAGGTGTCGATTAAGGTGGAATTGGTCGAAAAACAACTATAACGATTATATATTCGTTTTTCACTTAAAAACGATTATACAATCGTTTTAGTTGTTTTTCGGAACAAAACGCGATTTTTGGCTTCATAAATGAATAAAATTATGCCTATAACGAGCTTAATATCTTAATAATGTATTATATGATGATTGAGGTCTCGATTAAGGTGGAATTGGTCGAAAACAACTATAACAATTATATATTCGTTTTTTACTGGAAAAAATGATTATACAATCGTTTTAGTTATTTTTCAGAACAAAACGCGATTTTTTTTCGGATTTTTCGATCAAATTAATTGATAACGCATGTATATTCATGATTCGTGTAATTTGAGGGATAGTTTGGAATTTTTGGAGCGTCCAGACAATGACAATGGATCTCTTTTTTTAAAACACCAACATTTGTTCTTTATTCTTTTTTTTTTTTTTTTTT